CGCGAGACTACGCAAGACTACGCCCTGCAGGGCCGAGGCTACGCGAGCACTCTTGCAGCTTCACGGCCATCATAGCTCTTTCATGCAGAAAAAAAAGCTGCTCAAATGAGGTCCAGCTCTCTACCTTGCAAACAACATAGCCTTCATGATCTCTATCTCCTTCTTCAGGACATTGATCTTTTCCTGTCAGGCAAGGCATGTGTGTCGGAGGCGCTCTTCCAAATTGGGATCGCTGAGGCTTGCTGCGAACTGTAAAATTTAAAGTCTTGGCGGGCAGTTCCTCGAACAAAGGCTCTGGGGCATTGATGTTAGATCCTTCCTTGGATGGTAGCCCACCATTGTAACTTCTATGCTCTACGCCAGTGACTTTGCGGTGAGCTACATAAGGCGAGTGTCACTTTCACTTCAAATTTGAAGGCTCAGAATGATGGATCTCCATCTAGTCTGATGATGTTGTAGAACATGACAGAGGTTATGCAGTCTCAAGGCGCCTTGGCCAATGTAGCTAGCTTCCATGATTCGGTGGCAAGCCATGAGAACCATCGAACCATGTCTTAATCCGAGCAATCAATGGCACCGCGGTTCCCTGTTCCGGCCGAGCTTTACTGAAGCTGCTGGAAAATGCCCATCAAGAGTTCAGCTGCGCTTTGCCTTCATTCGCTCCAGTGCAATGGACTTCACTGCGCGCAGAGCGCCTGTCGACTTCACCTGGCACTCTCTGAGGCTTTTGGAAGAGGAAATTCGACAAGGCCCTGAAGCCAGGACCGCCAGGAGGTTCCGGGAGGTTCTGGGGCCCCCGCGGAAGCTTTATGGACGGTTCCAAAGCTGCCTTTGCCCAGGCGCTTCGCCTTCGACAAAACTGACAAAAGTTTCTTGGTGGGCTAACAACTAACTTACGCAGCGAGTACCTGGCAGTACCTGATGCGGGGCAACTCACATGCCGATGTGAACGAAGGCCGAAAGTGTAGCCGACACGATGCCTTTCTTCTGGCTTTCCTCCCTCTCTTCCGCCACTTTGTCGGCAAGATTAGCTAGATTGGCAATGCAAACGGAGATCTGGATGGGCAGGCTCGCTTGGAGGCGTTGAGGCTCGGTTCTCGAAGATCGGCGCTTGCTTTTGGAATTTAGGCTGCTGCCTGTCCTTGACAGAGTCCAGCAAGCTCTTGTTGCTTTTGCAGCAAGGGCCGGCCGGCAAGGAGGAAATGTAAAGAAGTCAAGAGAGGTCAAGTCTTGTTCTCTTCATTCTGGTATTGTAAGAAGAAGCCGGGCCACGCCCCAGAACTAGCTTGCGCTCATCCAGCCCCGACACTATTTGAAGCACACGGAAAGGTGGGCACCAACGAAAACTTCCCTTCCACTTCGGTCTATTTCCGCGTGATATCCCATTTGGCCACCTTCTCGCGCCTCTTCTCGCCAAAGTGAAACCGTCAGAAAGCTTGGGCTGGAGATGGGGGCCCGTAGTATGCATCACAGAAGACCCAAGCTCTGAACTAGGTTCTATCACGTTACCTTCGGCCGCCATCAGATCATATTGCCTGTTTGGATTTGCTTGATCAGCACTTTCTGACTAATCTGGCACCCGGCTGAATACTCTGAAAAGTCTATCTTGTACGCAGATTCTATGCCGCTGAGTGCAGACACGCTTCCTCCAAAACCAGCCTGATTACTTAGCTGCATTTCTCCTAGCAGCCCTAGCAAAGCGTTGATCCTGCCTTACTTCACTTCCGTGAAGATTCTCGTGGCTCTGCGGGCGCACGATAAGGGTGGGTCTTCACCCGACATGCTGTCTGCCAAGGATAAGCGGCCGAAGCCCTGACAACTTCAAATTGAGAACCCCGGTGAATATGCAGAGCTACGCTCTTCAGTCGAGATCTGCGGTTGCTTTGCCCCAGCAGTCTCGACCCAAGCAGCGAGAAAAAATGACTAGCTCCCTGCGCCATATCTGCTTGTTGCGCCCTATTAATATAAGCTGCTGCCATTCTATAGTAGGACTCTTGTTTTGCAAGCCCTGCTCCCTATGCTGCGACTGGACGGCTGCAAGTGAGGAGATCCACAGTTCAGTTCTGGCTTTCTTCGCAGATTTGGCGCCCACCCGAAAGGTCAGGGCGTCCAAGACAATGCAAGGCCGCGGGGGGCCAAACTCTGCTTGGAACAAACTATCAGGAAATGCTGGTAGAACCAGAGGTGTACCTTGAAGCGCTTCAAAACCAAGACTTTGGACGCCGCCGCGATTCGCAAAGGTACTGCAGCTTCCAGCATGTTGGAATTCCACAGCACTAATTCGAGTTGGCAGAGATCAGCAGCTGCTCACATAAGATGTAGCAAACTAGGCCTTTGTGCGGCAGGAGTTGAGGCTTTTGTGCGTGGTTCTATGAGCCTCAAGGTGGCCACCAAGCTAAGCATGTCATCCTCTGAGATACCATGCGAATGCAGAATCGCATAGTGTCATACTGCCTCCTCAAGAAAAAGGTTAGCCTTTAAACCCGGGTCACCACGAAATGCGTCCTAGGAACGGCAGCAACGGCTGCCGATTGAACGGCCTTTGGCCGTCTAATATTGTCGCTCGCCTCAGCCAGGCACGCGGTTCACATTGGGAGAAGATGGGTCTGCGCTTGCTTTAGCAGCGCACCGTGACATGAACTCAATGGACTCAAGCGACCTTGTGTGCTATTGAGACGTAAACTAGGCTATAGCAGGCGAGGAGATCATAGCATCCAAAGGTGAGAGCTAGCCGTCCCCAAGCAAGCTGTGCCTTCTTCTTAGGCCAGAGCTATTCACTCGATCTCCTGGATCAAGCCAGCTTCCAATGACTTTTCTGCAGCCTGCACCGGAACAACAGGTGGACCAGAGTCAGACATGCACGCTGTGTTTGGACGGGAACGGCCTGTCACACCCTTGTTGCAGCTTTATGTTCCTGCTTTTTTATGAGAACTATTTGAACTAGTGATGTTGCAGTCCAGTTGCGTATGTGTCAGTAAGGATGAAGTGCAATACAACCTGCCTGGCATTTGTTACATCCGCCCTCATTTTCATAGCCTTTCTCATGATCCCAGTCTCCAATCAAATCTACAGCAGGTAAGCCAAGATGATCAGCTGATCCATCATTGTTCACCGTAATATGACTGGAACCTTTCCATGTGAGAGTAGACGGTAGACTGCCTGTCCCTCCAGCGCCGTGAACGTCCGGGGAGATTCAACCGCCCGCAGCCCCTCCGAATTCCACTTCCTTAGCGATGCGCTGGCTTCTTTCAAGCTATTACTGTTGGGGTCCCATCCATCTCAGGGAGGTGAGCTTGCATTCCGGATAGAGCCAAGCAGATGACAACTGAACGTCTGCATATACCTAGGTTGCGGGCAGTGCCCTGTGCTCACTTGCGTTTGTAGGCAGCTGCACGAGTACTGGGCATTTCCCTCTGTCGACGCACGCTCTACTGGAACCTGTGCTCAACCGTCGCGCGCCCCAGACGCTTTCACAAGTTGACAGCAGAGCAACGGATTCAAGAGCATGTTAATGACTGCAATTCAATCTCTCAACAAGGTCGTGTGTAGGCTTTTCCGCCCTCATGTGATGTCCGAGGCACCGAACAGCAAAGGAGCCGAGGGCTACCAGAGCAACACCTCAGTGAAACCAGGGAACCACTTAGATGAGTTTGCTCTTGCCATAGCCATGATTTCTAATATTCCTGATAAGAGGGTTGGATTTCGAGCGCCGGCAACCTGCTAGCTTTCCACAAGCAAGGCATCAGGAAAGCAAGTGTTGACGGTGCGTTACATGGATTTCACATGGCAAGCTTATGTCAATGTGGTTCAAAGGCTTATAGCTAGAAACAAATGATGGGAATTAATGGGCTTGGTCGGCAACATGTCTGTCACATGCACGTGCTCGGGGCCCTCTGACATGCCAAGTTCAAGTCAATGCGAACATCTCAACTATGTTCGCTTCAAGCAAAGGTGATCCATTGGCACAGCGCCGTACTGCTTTACCAGACATCTGCAGTCATCACCAGGTGCAAGAGCTTTACTGAATTGGCTGGCAACACAGTTGAGAAATCTTATTCCTGTGCTTGCCCAACGTTCTAGCCCAAGCTAGAGAAGTTGTAAAGGAAAAGGCATGGGCTTAGGATCGATTCAAATGGTGCAGCCCACCAGATCTGGCCTGCAATCGCAACGGACACGAGGGACACGATCGGCAAATTCCTCAGCACAGAAGAGTTCCAAGGAGCATTCTCAAAGTCTTGGCCTAAATGAATAGCAGGCAAAGATGAACCTTTGAGCAGCCGGGCTTGAGCTGGCATCATGACTTACGAGTCAATGATGCACACTCAGGGCAACGCCCAATAATCAGCACATGATGCAGGAATGGGTTGGAACAGGTTCAGCATATTCAGCATGCACACGCATATCCGGGACGAGGAAGTCTTGTGCCCGCATGGATGCTGCTCAAGATTGCAGTATCGATTCCCAAGTGTTAGTTTCCTTGCGCACACCCTTTCGCCATCCTACGCGTGGGCATGTCCACGCATTTAAACTACAGTGTATTCATCTAGAAAAGATCAGCATGTATAGGGATTTTTTGTTCTTGCGCCCCTTTTCAAAAACTTACAGCTGCCCATGATCTTGCCACAACAATAGGCCAGGGTTTAGAATGGCATTTATATACTGCTCACTCGTGCAGAGCGGGATTGAAGTGTGCAGAGCCTCCAGCAGGAGGGTGGTCAACACGTAATGCAATGACAGTGAATCATATTAGAAGGATCTAACTGTAGAACGGCAGCAGGCCAAGCATTTTGAAGCCAAAGCCACCTTGAAACAAAACCAGACTACCCCAACCAGGATACCGGAATGCTGAATACTGTTGCAAGGGCACCATTGGAATGATGCCATGGGTGGAATCTCGAACATCTTGCCGAGGATCTGAAGTCATATCATGGCATAAGTTGTTGCAAGATTCTTAAATTGCAACGAGCATGCAGCCCATTGCCCGAGAGGGTCCAGCAACAAGACTCATGAAACGCATCACGCAGGTTGTGTTTCCATAGCATGTGGCCTTGTCCGGATGTCCAGGGCCCGCCATCTTAATTGCCATATGCTTTTGATCCTGGCGCTGCGCGAGTGCAAGAAAACCTCATGAATATGCGCTGAGACAAAGTGCTCGACTCGAAGAACTACCCCGCTTCACACTTAGCCTGGCAATCTGAATCTCCCGAGGCCCACTGCAAAAGGTAATCTGAGCATCTTAATCGTTCAGAGAGCCCCATACAAACTTACGTCCTCAAGCCTCACTACGAAGCATCCCTGGCGGGCCCTGGCCTTTGAGATGAACCGGGGGACTCCTGTCTGCTCTCGGCAGGCCAGCCAGTCCTCCACGTTCCGCATCCCAGGCAAGGCTTCATTGAGGCTTTGGGTCTCTGGATGAGCTTCCGTTATGCAAATCTGCAGTACAGGCAGACGCGGGATGCTGTTCTGAAAGGAATCCTCCATGTTCTTCCGGGGGTGGTACCTCAAGACAGGTATCTGCAACGAGGAGTAGAACAAGAGGGGCGTGAAAAGAAAGTCTGACAAGACGACTCTGTTGCAATTGGCTTACCTTGCTCTTCGGGATAAGGCCCGGAAGGGCAAGAATGCTTCTGCGGAACGCTGTTGCAGGTGCTGCTTTGTCATTCCAAGTTGGTGCTGGCCAGGATGGACCTGATTTGCCAAAGTCTGGCTATGCAGCTGTGGCACACTCCGAAGTACTGATTCTGATGGAAGACAGCTGGATCAGGATTCAGAGCGTCGCAGTGATGGAACGCGGACTTGCCCCACTCCTTGGCTAAAATGGCACGGAAATGCTACCAAGCTTCCAATGCAGGGGATAGGCTGAGTGCAACGTTGAACGCGCTGCGTGCAAGGAGTTTGGCCATTCCTGCACTATACACCTGAGCTGTTACATGCAAACTTGTTACAGTAGCCTTGTTCTAGAGCATCTAAGTTGTTGCCGGCATCCACTAGCTGGGCATCATGAACCTAAGCACAAGCTTCGTTGATCAAGATGAGCTCATGGGCCCAAGAGTTCAGGAAGACAACTTTCAGCCAGGTCGTCCAGTCACTTTCCCAACCGAGGTGCATACTCATCATACAGCAAGGGCATTTCCTGGGCAGCGCTGGGAAATGGATCGGCTGCAGATCTAAAGCTCTGTACACAACGCAGCTGAAGGCAGATGCCGATGAGAGAACCGTCAAGCCAAGACGCCAAAGTTTTCACCACAGGAATCTGAGCAGGCAGGTCATTATGCATGCATCTCCAACTTCCATTCACTGGTCCAAGTCCCTCGCTCCAAGCAAAGACCAGCATTTGTTGGCCCAGAAGTCCTGGAAACTCTCATGCCAGTCGACCCATTCGATGTGGAAGCTAGACTTACACTGCTTGCACACTGTTGCAAGCACTGCACGGCAGAAACTCCAAAGGCTTTTCAATATGCCCAATTGCCGCGGCAAGGATGCTGTTCAACATACCCTGCTTCCCTTTTTCGTTTCGGTTAGGGTAGACGTTCCGGATTTGTTTACGCAGCCTACATGCGAGGAAAAGGGAGGCAGGTGGATCCAAACGACCATCACGCTCAGTGGGTGTTTTGTGTTTCATTGCTCCCAATTCTCTGCCCTTCTCGCAACACCAAGCTGGCATTAACTCAAAAAATTGCGCTGCTGTGTAGAAACCTGGTGTTTCGCCATGCAACTAGACTATCTCTATGTTTCATCTGCCATGCGCATCGGTGTTTCCTCTGCAAGTTCCTCCCGCCGGCTGCTCTCTCACTCGCTAGCAACCTGGAAAGTGGGCACGAAGCGCGGAGGAAAAACAAAGGAAAAAGGCAGGCCGAGGGCTGGCTGAGAGGTCCAAAGACTTGCAGCAGCTCTTCTCACTCTATGCAGGATATGCATGTTCTGGTGAATTTGGTTTCTCCCCGACCTGTAGTGTGGAAATGAAATATTGAAAAAAAAAACGCAGATGATCTGCCATGGAGAGCTGTGGAAAGCACCAATCGTTCTTTGTTTTGTTCCGTGAGGAAAGCTGGAAGAGCACCGACAACATCCGAACACTGGCTTTGCAATAGGAGAGACCTTAAAGTCACTGTCCTCCCCATAGAGCTGCACGTCGATCTTTTTGAAGCCTGAGAATGAATGGGGTATCCTCTTGCCCCACAAACTTCTCGTGCAATTTGAAAGAAGGCAAGATCTTTCAAGGAAGGCCTGGATTATGAGCAAGCCTCTTGTAGGCTTTCAGATTCGGTTGCTGAATGCAGGATAAAACCTTTGAGGTTCAGGCATTGCTCCTTGGCATCGCGATACGCGTACCTGGGATAAGCTAGAAGTATTGCTTCCGCAGCAGGACGTCACTACTCTGCAACTGTTGCTCATCACTGGGTTCAAATTCAAAAGAGGCCTCCCCAAGAATGCATCGACGTAAACATCCAACTGAGTGAGGGTTTCGTCACTCGGGGAGGGGTTGATGACCTCCAATGTTCCATGATCTTTCGTCGAGCATCATGCCCAGCTTGGAGATCAGCTCCACCGGCCCATGAAGGAAGTTGCCGTACCTGGAATGGAGGGCTTCACAAACATCAGAGTGGCAGCCTTGGCCCACTTCGGCGGCGCACATGTCATGGAGCGAGTTCCTGGGCTTCTCTCGGTAACAGTTACAGGGGCGGCAAAGCTGTAGTTTTCACTTTCTAGACCATCTTACAGCACGACTCCACAATGCTTCTCGCTCCAAGTGTCAGGAAGAATTCTGGCCGCACCGGCCTGGAAGCCAGCATTCCAGACAGTCGCTGCGGAACGATCACAGCCTCGGCTTTGCACTATTCTGCAGTGGGGCCCTTCATCAGCTGCTTGAAGATGTGAGATCTCATTCCAAAGCTTGCATGGGCTCAGCATGTGTCCGTTCGCCTAAGTCCTTCAAAACTGCTACCGAACCATGTGTCGCGCCACTCGGCTTGCAAGTCACTAGGTCACATGTGGATAAACCTTACAGCAAGTAAGGCAGTAAGCATCGATGTCCAGCTTGCAGGTGTAATCATACTTCTCCTGGGCGGTCGGACACGCGACAGGATTGCAGTACACCTGTAGTCCGAAAAATCCTTGCCAGACCATGAGGACATGCAAAAGACCATGTAGAAAACGGCAACGTGACTGTAAAGCCTTGATCGAATGATGAAGCAGCATGCCAAATGAACAGCTCCAACATTCCGTACGGTAGATTGGAATCTTTAAGCAAGGGCCCTTGCAAAATAATGCTCGAATATCATGCAAACCTTCAAGACACGCAGGACTTGGTGCTGAAGCTGGCAACAGAAGGCAAAATCCACTGTGCCTCTGTATTCGTGCTGTACTAGATGCAGCCTTTTGGGGTGGCCTTTGAATCTGAGCTTCAGCTTTTTGCAGGCAAGCGTCAAAATTCCCAAGATCAAAAATGGTCTGCCACACCTTGGGCACTTGTTCAGCTAATAAGGGCAGACCTGATTGTGGTTGCATCGCACACCTTCAGACATCCACAGCAACGTCGCAGCACTGTAAGGTCTGCACTTCTTTGAACACAGGAGTGTTGGCAAGATGCTTCATAATCCTCAGATGCATCTGGTCTCGCAACCCTGAGGGCAACATAGACATTGAAACCAAAAAGCAAGGCGATCCCTTGCTGGGATTGCGGACAAGGATCGCATTCTTCCCCTGGTAGAGAGGCGAATTCGGATCCGTTGCGGGCGATGAGGTATCATGCCCTGAGGCGGGCTGGCATAGTAGGGCAAAGGTCAGCAACATGCTGCTGAAGGACAAGCTTCGTTGAAATTATCTTGTGAAGCGTCTCTGGCTCCGTGCCCTTTTCAAACTCAAAGAAGGTGTGCGGCTGCGAGCCCAGTGTTTTGGCAGTCAACCAACAATACCCAACCACAAATACCCCACGCCCTGTTGTTGTAATTGCCGGCAGGAAGGCAACTTCAGGAAAGGGTAGTGAGCACTCAGTATGGAAGTCCCTGCTCTTCTGCTTCCGGCTGCTCCGATACAAAAGCTGGCCTGCAGGGCCTTTGACCGTCTTCACCTCAGTTTCAAAAGCGAGTTCAAAGCGAGCTGTTGCTGAATTCCGCAAGCCCAAGCAGCTCAAGGCCAAGGAGCGATTGTTTTCGTTGTGTTTGCTTGGTCAAGGTCACTTGTAAGCTCGCTTGCAGTTGTTTGCTAAGGTGATGTCAGGAGTGCATCTTGGGGGCGGGCCAGCTGAAATGTGTAGAATTCTGACAAGCCAATGGCAGCATCTCGCAAAATAGTCGAAGTCTAAGCGCTTGCAAAATCGGCAGTCAGGAAAAGTGAAAGCCCTCTAGGGGCAGTCTGGCAACTTAGCAATTGCAAAAAATGGCTCAATAGGCCGCATGCTCAAGCTAAGTTCTCCTTTGGGTTCTTGAGCTCTTGTCGGGTGGTGCGGCTTGTGAGGTCATTCGTGATGGCACCGTCAGCCCCCTCCTACATTGCAGACAGGAAGCATACAGATCCATATTGATCACGTGCACCTTGTCCTGGAGAGGGTGTGGGCAGATCTGGAGCATGCTTGGTGCAAAGGCTCATTTGCAAACACGCAAGTTGCGCAAACATCGCCAAAAATCCCACAACGAGCGTAAACCTGTACTCTACAAGCGTCTGGTCATTTCACTGAACAGCAAGGCTCCTGACGGTTGAATGCTGGCCACAGAGCTGACTACTTACTCGCTTGGTCCTTCAGCATCTTGGCGGTCTCCGGAAAATCCTTGAAGAGCTCCGCAGCTGAAACATTGCCTTGAGGGCAGAGCCATTATTCTAGTCTGGTATCTCACAAACACAATGCTAGACAGCACCATTTGCCACAGGGGCACTGATAATGTCGTAGCCGTTGCACTCGAACATGCCCACTTTCAGTTTCCTTAGCAGGTAGCTGCGTTTGAGCAGCGGCGGTGGGAGCTCAGAGTGAGGCCCTCAAACGTTAGTCTCCATCTCTTGAGGTTTAGAAGTGCCCGAAGAACGAGTGACAAGCAATGTCTTCAAGTTGAAGCCGAAGGTACGCCATGGCCGCCACCATTCCCACTTCGTAGGTATTCGGCGTAACGCATGAGAAGCAGTAAAGGCTTCCTGCTGAATGGCAGATGTTTTGAACAGTGTTCCTGGTCTGAAGTTCCAAATAGCAAGCTTTACTCACTGTCCACCGCTCCTCCTCCTCCCATAGCACATTGTAGCAAAGAAATGAAGATGGTCACGAAGCGCAGCATTGCCTTGACCAGTGTCAACGATTTTCTAGCTGCACAAGTCAGCCAAACCTTTTTTCAATCGCAAGCCCTCAGCTCCTCATGTCTTATAGGGCAGGGCCACGCAAAGAAGCGGCGTATGATCAGCAACAAGCTTTTTTCAGTTCCAGCCTGCTCCGCCATGGGGGATGTGGTCAAAGAAGCTTCTGCTGCGAGCCCAGCACGGCTGTGAGAGTCATTGTAGATTTTCTTTTCAGGTTCATGAGCCCACGCGTGCAAAGGCTTCAAAGATCACAAAGTCTAAGCCTGGATTGCTAGCATGCTCTTGTCAAGATAGGCGATTGCTCACTTCACCTCCTGCCCTGGCCCAATGATGACAAGAAACCTGAATGCTGAGCCCTTTGAAGCTGCAAATCTTGATGCCTGCTCCACAGTGTAAAACGACCTCAGTGCGACCAGGGCATATCATGCAGTCTGAATCAGTACGAACTTGAACTAGCCAACTGACGTGCAAAACGTGGAATGCAGTTTCTTTGATCAGCTCCTCCTGCGCAATCCCGTCTCAATGCTCGGCTGCTCCAAGCAGCACTAGATCGTCTAACTAACCACTAGCGAGTCTAAGGCGTTTGTGGTCTGGAGCCTTTTTGCAGAAAAAACAAAAGTAATATCAAACCTCAGAAACCCATTGTCATGCAGGCAGCTTGAAGGTGGGGTCCTGGCTCAAGCTTTCCAGGGTTGTTGATGATAATCTGCAGAGCCGAAGATGGTGAAACCGGCATCGTCCTTGCATCGCTGCTGAGGGCGCTCTCGGCTCTCGCCCAGCTTCAGGTAAGCAGCCATGATTCTTGTCTGCACTTAGAATGATCATGGTCTGCGCAAGTGTAAACACGTTTATGTGAAAACGACGACCTTCTAAGAACGTTCACAGAGCAGGTGCTGAAGGCGAGGAGGTGCAAGGTGTTGAGGCGTCGACTCGCAGACACTGAGGCGTTTCCTGCCGCGCTTTTTGGGCGTCCGGCTGCTCTTGGCCTTCGTCTCAAAACAACTCTGCAAGCATTTCTGGCAGCTTCACATTTTTAACTCCCTGCGGCGCGGTGCTGCTGGGTGATGGCGGGCGCTGCAATCTGCAGCTTCAAGACTAGCAAGGCGCATCGAAGCCTACACCGCTTGTAAGAAACTCAAACAGGTTGTGATTGTCTTTCACCATATCCGGGGCCTCCTTTCCAAAGTACTCCCGTGCATCTATAAATCCAAATTCCAAACAATGTCGACACAGAAAGGTAACATGCACGCCGTCCAAACACTGAAAGCAATGACACCCAGCCTTCTGTTCAAAGACGTCTGGCTAATGACCGGTGCTACCCGCAAACTATATGCACTCACGCAACACGATCAGGCGCTGGTGGAGACTGAACTCCAAGACAAGCGCTTCAACAGTCGAGCACCGCTGCAACTCCGATTAACGTACACATCTTTCAGCCTGAGTGAGATGATGGCAATTGGGTCACTTGAGTCCCTGGCAGTCTTGTCGCCGCTGCTATCTGCAGGCGATTGAACAGCATGAACGAAGGTATTGCTGCACATGCGATCGCTGAAAAGCTAGCCACTTCAGGCTTCTACCAAGGCAGGCGCAAAATGATATGGAATGAACACGATTCTTGCTTTGCTCATCTGACAGCGATTCAATTCCTTGCAGCGCGCATGTTATGTGGCAGCGTGCAGGTTATATCTCGGATATCAGTATCTGCCGTGTGGTGGCCATGGCCCTGGCTGCGCCTGATGATCCTTCAGTCCGAGGATGCTCATCAGAAAAAAGCTCCGGCTCCTCATCGTCAGTATCGCAAAGAACCTCATGGATTGGGAGCACAAGTTGGATGTTGTGGCTTGGACTCTTCACGTTGCTGTGGAGGTGCCTGTGTGCTACAAGCAGGTTGAGCATGAAGCTGGCGTAAGGGAATGAATGCAAACCACAGGCTTGACCACTGCTTTGCGCACTGCCTGACCTCAAAAACCCTGCAAGATCCTGAGCTCAGCTAGAAATTCTTTGCCCTGGGGGCTAAGCTCAGAAAACTGGGTGAGTACAACTTGTGAGCCCGTCGCTGGTCGCGGGGACACAGCTGCTATGGGCAGTAGTAACCTCACCAGCGGTTCATGTCACTCACAAGATCTCTGGCAAGGGCATCCGTGCCTCCATGTAAGCTAAATGTGTTGCCTCCCTTCAGGACCGTACATTGCTCAGCCTCTTGCGAACATGCCTTCATGGCCACTACAGTGGGCCCTGCCCTTACATGCGCCGCAAGGATGGATGACTAACCATATGTCTGCCCCAATTCCTCTGCGCCTTATACTACCTACACTCCCCGAACTGAAGGGCGTGGCTGCACGCAGGATGTTCAAGCAAGTGAGCTCCAGCTTTTTTGATGTGCAGGTACAGACATGTTGGAAAGTTGGAGCTGATCATCTGCCCCCTGGGGAAACGGTCGTCTGCGATTTTGCAGATGATGCAATAGGTGGCAGAACGAGCAAGCATAGGCTAACCCCACA